TCTACCACCATTACCTCGCACCTCCTCACTGGGGCGTCTGCGCTCCGTCTCTTCACATGTCCAAACCATCTCAGTCTCGCTTCCCTCAACTTGTCCACCACAGAGGCCACTCCCACCTTCTCCCGGATAACCTCATTCCTAATCTTGTCGCTCCTAGTGTGCCCACACATCCATCTCAACATCCTCATCTCCGCAACATGCATTTTATGAACGTGTGTGTTCTTGATTGGCCAACACTCCGCTCCATACAACAAGGCCGGTCTAACTACCACTCTGTAAAACTTACCTTTAAGTTTCGGTGGAATTTTCTTGTCACACAATACTCCAGAGGCAAGCCTCTATTTCATCCAAGCAGCCCCAATGCGATGTGTGACATCATCATCGATGTCACCACTCCCTTGGATTACAGCCCCAAGATACTTAAAACTTTCCTTCTTAGGAATGATTTGTGCGGCAAGTCTCACTTCCACATCTGTCTCATCCACCACATCACTGAATTTGCACCCCAAATATTCTGTTTTGGTCCTACTCAACCTGAACCCTTTGGACTCCAGCGTTTGTCTCCACACCTCCAACCGCGCATTAACTCTGTCCCGCGTCTCATCAATCAGTACTATGTCATCCGCAAATAACATACACCATGGGACCTTCTCCTGAATAGACCGCGTCAACTCGTCCATCACCAAAGCAAATAGGAAAGGGCTTAGGACTGATCCCTGATGCAGCCCCATCTCAACTGGGAAATGTTCTGAGTCTCCTCCAACTGTTCTAACCCGAGTCTTGGCTCCACCGTGCATGTCCTTTATCGCCCTAATATAAATCATCGGGACTCCTTTAGACTCCAAGCACCTCCAGAGGACATTCCTCGGTACTTTGTCATAGGCCTTTTCAAGGTCAATGAACACCATATGTAGGTCTCTCTTCTTTTCTCTATATTTTTCTACCAGTCTACGCATAAGATGAATGGCTTCGGTAGTCGAACGTCCCGGCATGAATCCAAACTGATTCACAGAGATGGACACCCCTCTTCTCACCCTCATCTAAATATGTTTCTAAAGATAAGTTATTTTTAGTAGCAATGTCAAACATGCTCTAAAGGAAGTTTATATGACATTCTTAAAACAATTTCCTCCCATTTCTCTCCATTTAGTTATGATTGTTATAATACATTTAAATTCCCCCATTTTGTTTGCAGCTTGGCAGCATTGTGTTGTTGTTGCCTCCTAGACGAGTGTTGCTGTGACCCCTCAGACGTTTTCTTTCTCTGCTAAAATTCAATCACATGGAGACAAAGTCCTCAGACGTTTTCTCTTAGGATCAACCTTTGTTGTATAAGATGATATGTCTAATAATTTCTCGCTAATTCTGTTGACTTATTTCACCAGTTTGTGTGGGCACTTACTCTAATATTTAGATAGGAGAATCCTAAACCTCGAATCAAAACATGAAATGTGGGAGTGAACAAAATATAAATTAAACACCCTATTGTAAATACAAAATTACTCTCAAACTTGAATAAAACATAGTACTTTTGAGAAACATATGAAACCAATTAGTCTAAACAAGTACAAGAGCTTCTAAGAAATTACAATATTTAAAATAATAAGACACAACTTCCACCATAAAGAACGAGAGATAGAAGTTGCCGGAGTAAGAAAACTTTTAACAATTAGAGTAAGAAAACTTTTAAATATTATCGTTGTGATTGAGTAGGACACATAAAAAGATACTATCAAGCCAAAATAGCAATATAACTGCAACTAAGAAAGCTATTGAAGAAGAAAAAGACTAGAAAAGGTTCTTAGTAGCTGAGACTCGAGCTATAGATACCATGACTTCCATCAGTTTTAATAGAGTCTGGATCGTAGATTCAAGGTATAATACAACCAGTTATGTGGAAAAGCAAGACACCGATGTCATCAACAATAAGCAAGAAAATTCAAAAGGCATTAAAAAAAATGACATAGTAACTTCTATCGAGTCGGCAGTGTTTGAAACTATATATGCTAGTGGTGATTTTTTCCAAAGAAAGGATGTCCTGAAAGCTAAAGTCTCTTGTCAGTTATCTTATATATCGAGGTCCACCATTGCTTAGAGAAAATGTTGGAAGCAAATGAAGAAGATGAGATCAAATAGATGAAGAAGCTCACCTTGAAGGTCAAATTTTAGGTGGAGAGACAGACAACATAATTTTTGAAAGCTCTAAAGCTGTTAAACATGTTATTGAAGAGATAGAAAGGAAATCGGATGGTGGATCCTATTATGGTGCTAAGACTCGCAGGATATTAGTAATCATATCATCGCTGACTCAAATGAGAAGGCCTATGCTGATGAAAACTCCTTGTGTTGTAGAGTTGCGTTAGAAGGAGAAAATTCTAAAATCTTGAACATTGGAGTTCCAAACTTGCCTATCACAAATGTTTATCCAGATAATATAACTGTCGGGAAGCTAAGAGAAAGGGAAAGTCCAAAAACTAAGCAAGGAGATAATTCACATAGACCAACAGATAACAAAAAATCTCATCATTTCAAGAAGTAAAAAAGCTTTTAGAATAGTCTAATGTAGTATCTAAAAAAATAATCTTGTGAAAGTATCTAGATATTTTAAAGTAGAAGATAAAGTTGCTAGACTTTTCTTGTAGATATTCTAGAAAATTTGATATTTATAGAAAACCATAGAATAGTCTAGATCTTGTAGTATCTAGAACCACTCATAGAAAATATAAATAGGAGATGATCTTGTACATTTGTATTCAACCAAAAAAGTGAAAGTAATTGAAGAGTCTTCTTCCATAACAAAGTTCTCGATCTATCAAATTAAAATTTTCATTCTCTTTTCTAGCTTCCTCTCTTTAGTTGAATCTTTCGATCTTAGTTAACGATCTTAGGCTAGAAGAATGTTTCTCTAATTATACCCATTTTTCTTCTACTATTCTCTATAAATTAAGGATCACAATATATGAATCGTACCTTAGCACAAAATTGTTCGCTTTTAGGAGAAGAAATCTTCACAAAAAATTTCATTGGAACTTTATTAGAATTGGAGACGGTAGAATTAAGGAGAACTATCTTTGTTGTTCTTTTTTTGTTTTGTAAAGCGGGAGTTCCTCTTTATTTAACCGACACAAGAAATCGATTCCAGAGAAGTTCTAACCATTGTGTTTTTTTATTTAATATAAATTAAATATATAACAAATATGCATTTGTTTATTATTATTTGTATGAGTCCGGTTGACCCACATAGGTAACCCGAATCTAATTCCTTCACAAATAAATAGCAGTACGTCCATGCTTAATATATAGGATAAACTACTTTATTAGACATACATTACTATCATATATACTAATATTATCTCTACTTTCAAATAATTACATATAGTATCACTTTTAATATTTTATACCATATATTATTGAAGATACAATTTGATACTCACATCCCTTAAAATTAGAATAGATTACTTATCCTTACATTTAAATTTCACAATTAGTATTTTAATAACAATTAAATATATTTCTCTTTCAACATCTCCTCCAATCTCCAACCCTAATTTCCCCCCACCCACCTCCCACTTATTAACGAGTATCAACTGCCGCAAACAACCTGATTCAATGCAAAGAATGTAATAGCTTTAGAAAATTATATTTTATTGTATAGAGGATGCTACAATATAATGGCAATTAGTGTTATTTGCAAGTAGTTTGTTTGTGCCTTTTCGCTGCCAAATTAGTCACAATTTTTTTTCTAACAATTTCACTTTTTAGTTGACTCAAATTTCATCTCTGACGATTTGAGGGCCTTCTTCTTCAAAATTTTATTAGTCGGAGGGACGAAAAAGTGAAATTTGATGGCTCTACTGGAGGTCCGTCAGATCTAGACAAAGCGAGTAACATCGACAAATCAAAAGGTGAGAGCAAACATCGCCGCGGTGAGATGTACTGACCAGCTATGAACGTAATTAAGATGAAAGAATTACGCTAATATTTAATTAACAGAACAAATACACCATTAAGTACATATCAAGTGCAACAATGTTGGATACACAATAGGTGTACATGTCTCTAATTAAGAGTTCGTGTATCTGAGTTAAGATTATATGTATCTATGAGAAAAAAGAATGAAGAATTTGAATTTTTTTACTTTTGTTCTTGATTTAATGATATGACAGATACTGATCTACCATCGTGATTTGTTCCTAAATTCGTGTGTTTCAGTTACATTTCATATTTAGAACACATAATTATATGTATATGCATACTATGTATCCAAGATACATGTTTTGAATATAATGTATGAAATTGACACTTGATACATCAAATTAATACTAGATACATATAAAAGATACATGAAATTAAAATTAGATCATATAAATATTATATAGATACATAAAAATTAATATTAGATCATATAAATAGATACATGAAATTAATACTAGCTAGACATATATAACAAATACATGAAATTAATACTAGATACTTCTATGATACATATGAATGTACTTGTATGATACTTATGTATCTAAGTATTTGATTTGTTGTATACATTATATATTTATAATAGATACATTGAATTAATGAATTTATTATTTCAAGAGTAATAAAATGAAATTAATCAAATCACATGATCAAGATATACATATTTTTGTCTTTTCTTAATAATATTAATGAATTTATTATTTCAAATAATAATAAAATGAAATTAATTAAATATAGATACTTCCCTGATTTCCGCCTTATATTAAGGGATTTGATTAATTTAAATTTTCAAAATTAATTGTCTATTCGGTAGATACATGTATCTCGCAGATTCAAACTCATGTATCCTAAGCATGAAATATGGTAGATGAAGTAATATTTGAAACTATCGGGAATGTTAGTAATTAGGACCTAAACTAGTGGGATTTATGTAGTTTGCCCTAATATATAATTATAAGCCTATAACACACTCATTTCCTGACCGAAAGAAAAACAGCCATAGAACATAAACAAGACATCCCTCCATCTCAACTCTTGTTCAATGTGTTGTCAATGCCAAGCACAAAACGATATTTCACGTCTGATTTCAAAAGGCGCTCCAATGTTGTATTCACATAGTCCATTGGCACGACTTCAACATCTGGTGTTATGTTATGCTTCGCCGCAAAATCTACCATCTCTTGTGTCTCCTTTATCCCTCCTATCTGACTCCCCACCACTAGCTTCCTTCCTGTTGCACACATTATATACTTATGTATCAATATTTTAAGTTCAAATTTAAAAAACTATATATATATATATATTAGATAAAATCGTCGATTGAAGAATAAAGGTACCCAAAAGTAGGGGGAATATGGGCAACTCTAATGGTTTTTCAGGAGCGCCCAACATCACAAGTTTCCCATGAGTTTTCAACAAATTAATCAATGGAAGTAGAGGGTGAACCGCAGAAACAGTATCGATGATGCCATCAAGTGAGCCGGCTGCATCCTACTCGTATTACACGTACAAACAAAAATTAGTGTTATTCTTGTGTCATACACCCATAATTAATTTGAGATTGAAGCATAGTTGATTGACCGACCTGCATTTGGTCAGGGTCATGACTGACCAAAAAAGAGTTTGCGCCTAAACGCTCAATTGCTTCGTCTTTCTTACTAAGAGATGTACTAATGACAGTCACTTTGGTTCCGAATGCCTTAGCGAATTTCACAGCCATATGTCCAAGCCCACCAAGGCCTACAACACCAATGTGCATTCCAGGCTTGTCAAGTCCAAAATATTTCAATGGACTATAAGTTGTTATCCCTGTACATAACAGAGGAGCAACTTCCATTGATAAATTTTCTAGCCAGTGGACCACGTAGTGCTCATCCGTTACCATTGTATTGGAGTAACCACCATACGTGGTGGTTCCATCGGAGTAGACATTATTGTATGTTAATATCTGATCGGGACAGTAATTTTCGAGATCGTTGTCACAGTCTTCACATTTTTTACATGATCCTACTAAACATTCAACTCCAACTTTTTCTCCAATTTTGAATTTCTCCACTTTGCTACCAATTTCAGTTACTACACCAATAACTTCATGCCTATAAGAGAAATTGACAATTACAAAGTATTGAAACTTGGTGAATAATAAGTTCGCTCATTTACTATATTCCACTTTACTTATAATTTAAATATTTACTTAAATATTATAACCTTGTCGCAGACCTAACAATAGTTGTTACGTCTGCGACGGGATTTTAATAAAAGAACATAGTAAAATGAAGCTTACCCAGGTACCATGGGATAGATGCTATTTCTCCATTCATTCTTGAGCTGATGAAGATCAGCATGACAAATTCCACAATACGATACTTTGAACTGCACATCTTTTTCACCAGTCACCCTGCAACACCCATTATTAATTATTGGTGTAATATATCACAAATACAATAAATTACAATTGAGAATAAAATGATAAAATAAATAAATATATATTCAGTGAGTTGCGGATAGTTCGCTCTTTTTAAGGAGATTCAAGTCCACTGTGGTATAATCTAAACCGATATAACAATATTACTCTTAACTTGTCTCCTCTAAAATACAATCACCCAACAACGTCGTACAACTTAAACAACTTCGGACTAGTTGAGGAGTCCAAAAGCTCCATATAAGAACATCTTCTTTCAACATATAAATACTCTCTTTTATATAGTGAATAAAGTTGAAGACCTAGAATATTTTCTTTGTCTCAACTCTCTCTTTTCAGTACTACATACTATAATATTTTTTAATACTTAACATATTTATAGGTGTAGAAGTCTTCCATATAATCAATGGGTAGAATAAGGGATATAACAATATAAGTTATAAGAAACTAATGATAAGAGTTACAAGAACTAATGACGTTCATATAAGGTACAGGAGTTATAACAATTTATATCCACTAACATATACACTTAATATTTTATTTTAATAATAAAATATATTTACGCCAACAATAATTAAAGTTTAATTTATCTTTGCACCTATGTATAAATGCCAGTTTATATGAGTTAAATTTAAAACAAAAAATGAAAAAAATAAAATTAATTAATTTGTACCTTCTTGAAAAGTTGAAAGGAGAAAGAACACCAGAAGTGTCTCTAGCTGCCCATCCAAAGGCCTTTACATTCTCATGTGATTTTGCCATTTTCTTGATTTGTTTGTTACAATTAATTTCAGTAGAGTTACTGGCCAATGTCTTGATTTTAACTTTTATAAATATGCCTCAGAGTTGATGATGTAGTCGATGAGGTATGAATCAAATGTTATCGTCATGGCTTCTCTGTACAAACAATTTGTCTTGGTTTGATATATGATAAGACTTTTATTATTACCCTTTAATTTCTGTGGTTGTTTCGAATTTTTAAAAATATATCTTAATTATATGGGTGTTTTATTATCCTTTAAATAATTTAAATTAATATTATTATATTATTTTTTGTTCACCTGACATAAAAATTATATAGGATGCCTACTTATTAAAGATATTTTTTTGAAAATTTGGAACAACTTTATGTATCACTTTATATATTTTTACGGTGCAAGTACCTTTATTTTTGGTTTGATGATTCCAACTTCAATTATGACTTTCACTTTCATAACGACACATGTACTCTCTTTCTATATATATATATATAGTTTGCATGTATAACATGTGTCTTTGGCTTCATATCCAGAGACCAATAAGCCATCTTTTCCTTTGAAATTTCAGTTATTCTAGAAAATTCAAATTATGTATATCTTCAATTTCACTTAAGAATATATACATAATTTAGGGGGCTTTACATTATTTCTTCATCCTAATAATGTATTTTTTCGACTAAGCGTTATCTCCAATTACTCACACATCAAGCAATCGATCACTTTCTTTTGAGTTATTTTATTCGAATTTTGCTTTATTAACACGAGTTCAATTTTTTTGAGTACATGAGGTTTGTTCGATTGAGAATATGATGGCATTTTAGCATTTATAATGCAAGATTTTTTGCTGCCAATTGTGTTTTATAATTTTTGTCTAATTAATACTAGCAATTTGCTGTTGATGGCTAAAAGAGAATGATTGTTTTCTTTACCTTTTGGTTATGTGAGTGATATATAAAAATCCAGTGTTTATATACATATATATATATATATTCACTTAAAATTTTAAAAGGAATCTTTAATAATATATGTTTGGAAATTACGTAAAAAAATATTATAATTCACAATAATTAATAATATAAAAAATATATAAAATTATACGGTCAAAAAAAAAATTAATTGAGTCTTCAAATTTTATCCGTGCCACATAAATTGGGACAAAGAAAGTAACAAATATTATTTAAAAGTTACATAAAAAAAATTATAAATCACAATAATTAACGCCCTTAAATATCTAAAAATCATATTAAGAAATCGGTTGACTTTTCAAATTATTTATATCACATAAAAAAATTATAAATAACAATAATTAATAATTCTAAATATCTAAATCATATTAAAAAATTGATTGACTCTTCAATTTTTGTTTATATCAGCTCTTGATCGACATGCTTGAAAGTTTTATAAATCACAATAATTAACAATTAAAAATGTTTATAAGACACATAAAAATTTGATTGACTCTCAAAATTCTATCATGTCACATAAATTAGGACAAAAGGAATAACATTTATTACATCTCTACAAATAGTATAAAATATTATAAATAACAATAATTAATAACTTAAAATACTTACAAATTATACAAAAAAAATTGCTTGACTCTCTAAATTAAATTTGTTTCACATAAATTTTTAAAAAATAAGTAATATATATGGAGTCCGTGCTAATACGGGTTCCGATTTCTAGTATATGGATAAGTGAGAAGGATACTTTTTTGTGGCTCAAATAAACTAAGAAATTTATCCACTAATATATAGAAAGAACAAGTACAAGTTGACATGATGGATACTCTTGGAGGTAAAGCTTTAATATATATATAGTTACAATGTAGTGTTTTCCCCATCATAAATAAAAGTTAATGAAGATTCCCATAATTTCATAATTAGTCTTTTGTTTTCCCCTCTCCCTCTTTGATACTAATAATGAAGAATGAGGCATAAATATTGGAATATATTATTAACTGTGGTCGAGTTATAGTAATTTATCTAATTTCTGGATAATATTAGTATTTTATTTTATTTTATTTAATGTAATAAAATTTTTATTTAAATAGATCATTGTTAATATGTGTGTCAATTACTTATATAGTAAATGATTTTTGTGTATGAAGTTATTTAATTTATACACGAAAGATTAAAATTATCGGTTATTTTAAGTTATAAATTAGATGTTCACAATCAAAGTTGAAGTTGGACAAACACCTTGATGATTGTAGCGCAAGATTAAATATAATTCGATTTTAATTATGAGAATGACTAAATTCCAACTTCTTGTCCTAGTACATTCTGTGTGTATTGAACGGACCAATTAGAGGGTGTTGTTTATGTTTTGAATATTTATAAACAACTTCTCTAGTCCATTACGTGTACTTATACTCTTAATCTTGATATAGTTATTATGATTTATGTAGTTTGATTTATTAATTTAATCTATTAAAATGTGAGACTCTATTATGAGTCAATATATTCCTAATAGATCGTGTATTGACAAATCACATTAGTGAAATAATAATTAGTTGATAGAATCATGTCTCAAACTTTAGATAGAAGACACCCCTTTATGGTTACTTATAAGTTTTCACGTGAAAATCCTACAAGTGGATTTTATATCCGCCATGTGAAATAAATTAAGTAAGATTGTAAAGGATTAAATTAGTCAATGAATTAATTTAGGATATCAAAAAATTTGATTTAATTGATTGGTGTCAGTAATTCTAACATGAGGAATTAAATAAACTGTAATGATAGATTTCGAATTTAAATTGAGGAGTGCAATTACATATTTTTAGTGGAATATATAATTTATAATTTATTATGATATGGTAATTCATTCATTTAGGAATTAATGTCATAATAGGAAGCCTCATATTATAAATCTTAGATACCTACTATGCCTGATTAATTAATCAAGAATTTGAAAAAGAAAAAGAAAATTCTGGAAGTAATAATTTATACCAATCTTCTACAAGGAAAGGATTATTTTCCATTTAATAATTTACATTATTTTTGAGAGAAACAAAAACGTTCATGTTGATCTCTTAAAGTAGTAATATTGTCCTTAAAGAAAGAATAAAAAATGTATGGCTTTTATTGTTTTGATTGCCCTTCATGGCAATTGATAACATCTAATTGCTGTGAATGTTTTGATTCTTTTCCCCTTCCCCTCTTCAGTAATCAGTAGAGAGGTGGATATAAAAGGCTGAATAGGGGTAAAGAGAAAATCATCCTTTTCTGAAAATAAATTACTTGTCCACACAAAGGTCTTGGTTGAAATATTAATTAGTAGAAGGCTAAAGATCTGGATTCATTATCTCTAAACGAGGTTTTTGAGAGTGGTTTTTCATTTTTGATTTATATTAACATGCTAATATATAAGTTTCTGATCCGTGATTACGTTTCTGTTGCGTATATGATTTATTTACTCTAACAATAAAAAGCCTATGTTAGGGGTGAATGGTAAAAGAATGGTGATAATTGAGACTTCAACCCTAAGTTAGAGATGAAAAAGTAGTTAGTATAGACCATGACTTGATAAGGTAGAAAAATTACAAATAAATAAGATTGAGAAAAGGAAAAACAAAGAAGTTAGAAAGCACCACATTAGAGTCCATGGAAGCAAATAAAAGAAAAGGGAATAGAAAGTAAGAAGGAAAGGATAAAAGGGTGAATAACTTGTAGTGTTCAATTAGGTTGTAGTCATTATTTTTCAAATATGTATACTACTCGTCTTGAAACCTACATTACAAGTATAGAAACTTCTTATGTGATTTCATACTGAGCATTAAGATAGTGGCATTGAAAAAGTAAGCCTATGGTATCTACATGTATAGCATATGAATTTCTTTGCGAGTGTTAAGTGGTTTGTCTTCTTTTTAATCTCTTGTCACACTTTGTTCATTGTATTTATGTGTTATTTTGGGACATTTCTTTGGTTTATGTAAGGATACTTGAATTAAAATAATTGAGTAACTTAACTTTCTAAACTAAATCACTTGTCAGCGTCTGTTGAGTTAATATAGTATCATATTACGGATTGAGGTTGCATTATTAGTCATGGAAATTTGGAGTGATTCAATATGTTTAACAAATAAAAACTAAAGGATTGATATGTTTGAAAGTGAATGTCTGTAGCGACTTACTAAAATCATTATGGAGGTTGGAATTAATGCATTCACAACTTGATAATTAGTCTTTCAATATTGTCTCTTAAGTAGCCTAATACAATTTGAGTATCCTCTAAAGAAAGTATTCTCCTTCTATATTTCCTACAAATTGATATCAGAGAAGTTTTTCGTTCTCAATATGGGGTTAGGTGAAAAAAATTATGACATCCAAAACAAATGAAGGTGTTGATTCTCAGTTGTTCTTACTCCATTTTTACGATGGAACTGAATTTGAATACCGAAAGATAAGAATGAGAACACATATGAAAGGTGAAGGTTTGTGTACTATTGTTGCAAATGGATATGAAGAGCCAGAAGATGATGATTAACTTACAACAGTAGAGATGAAAAATCTTGAGTATAAGTATCGTCAAGATGCAAAAGCCTTGAGAAAAATTCAAATGGGAGTCTCAAGAGCATATTTTACAAAAAATAGCTACTTGTGAGACTGCAAAGTCAGCTTGGGAGTCTCTAAAAATAGAGGCGTATGGTGACGAAAAAGTACGCACTATAAATCTTCAAACTCTTAGAAGAGAGTTTCAAAATTTGAAGTTGATAAAATTTGAAAAAAAAAGATAGATGAATATTGCACAAGAGTCATGGATGTTGTCAATAAAATGAGAAATCATGGTGTGATACAATTTCTGACCAACAAGTTGTGGAAAAAATTCTAATAAGTCTCACAGAGAAATATGAGTATATTGTTGCTATCACTAAAGAGACGAAGATCTTTTTAATCTTTCCATGAAAGAGCTAGTTGAATCATTTTGTGCACTTGAGAAACAAAGATTTTTTCGTGAAGATCAACCCAAAGAGGTGGCTTTTCAGTCCAGAACCAATGA